CATGAGTCATCATGAGTTGAATTAGAGGGCAATTGCTTTGTTGGTTGGCTGGTTAGCAAACTAAGCATGACTCCCTCCAGTTTGTCATCTTGAGGTGGAAGAGTATTCAAGTCAGCATGCAAATGTACTTCACAGTTACAATGCTATAGCATATTGTTGGTGGTGACTGCCTTCATGTCGAGCACGACTCATAGTGACCCTATGAACAACAGGCCTGAAGCCCCTCTACAACTATCGACCTTTAAGAAGTCAGCAAGCTAAGGTCCATGTGAAAGGTCTTGAAACTAAGATAGTGCTTCTGGCCCACTGTCTACTACAGCCCAGAACAGCTTTCCTGAAACACAGCCATGCTCTATACACATGCTTTCACACAACAGCAGAGCCGGTAAAAGTCACAAAGCTTAAGCTGTTTACTATCTGGCCTTGTACAGAACATATCCGCCAAGCCCTGGCAGGTGGGATGTTTTTCGGTGTCATCAAGTTGCCTCCAACTCACAGTGGTCCCAAGGACGACAGATCTGAACTCTGCCTTATCCCACAACATCCTCACCATCTCCAATAAGCTCGAACCCACTGTTAGTGTCACTGTGTTACTCTCTCTTGCCGGAGGTCTACCTCTCGTTCTCTGTCCCTCCAGCTCTCACAGCATGATGTCCTCCTACAGAGCAAGAAACAGGATCCACACAGTTAAGATAGGGTGGTGGCAAGTGATTTGACAAAGCTTTAAAAAGACAGAAGGGAAAAGGGCCAGACAGATAACGGAGAGAGCTAGGTGAAGGTTGTTAGGAAGGAGGGGATGGAGGTCTTTATCACAAAGCAAAGAAGAGCCAGTGGGGGACAGAGAGTGAGGGGTCTCAACAATTAGGGGCGTGAGGGGGGCTGCGATCTGCAGAGTTCTCTCACTGCAGTGGACACAGGCTCAGACGGGTGGCAGCATGGAAGTCACCACAGACATGCAGTGTGAGGTGATGATGACTGTGACGGGGGAGCTGCAGAGGAGCAAAGTAGACACTGAACTGCTTCTCAGGGATGGGGAAGGAGAGAGACAGAGATGGAGAGGGAGAGGGAGACTGAGACAAAGGGGCAGAGGAAGAAGGGGAAGGGCAGGGGAGAGAGGAGAAAGGAGAGGGGAAAGAGGAGGGGGAGGTGAAAGGGGAGGGGAGGGAGAGAACAGAACAGAGAGGGAGAAGAGGAGATTCAGCTAACCTTTCAGGTCTCACATAAGGATTTTCCAAAGTGCCACTGCATTCCCTCTTGAGGTAAAATTTTTTCACAGAGCAGAGAGCTGGAGGTGGACTTGCCTACCTGAAGGCAGCACCACTTCTAGAAGGACTCTGGTCATGAGAAGGAACCTCTCTCTCAGGGACAAGGAGGAAAGACTTTTACAAACACTCGGGCTCAAAACTGGTCTCACTCACCACTAAATGTGACTTAACAGAAGACAATGGACTTTGGAGCCCAGGGGACTGGGGCTCTAACACTTGCACGATGTCTAACCAGCTGTTTAACCAAGTCTCTGTCTTCTCATCTGTAAAGAGAGGAGGACACTGTCCCTCCTCCTGCGGTTGTCCCGCCTCAGTGAACAGAGAGCAGCAGCAGTGACCACAGCAGCTACCATTGCTAGTACAGGCAGCACGCTCCTTTCAACCATGGACAACAGGCATCAAGATTTTTACTCTCCCATCAACCATATTTCATTTAAAAAAAAAGTTACAGTAAAACCTGAAAAGGTTTACACCTGTGTAAGGTGGAAATCAGTCTGATAAGGAAAATTTACATATCCCACTTAACAGGAGCAACAGGAAAATGGTAAGATTGCACACTGTCCAAAGTAGAAAATATCTGGAAACACAAGGCGATTCCATCGAGGACTGGTCCTCGCCGGGTTCACTGTATAATCCCGCTGCCGCTCAGTCGGTTCTGACTCGATGAAATCCATTCCATCATGGTTCCGAGGCTGTAAATCTTTATGGAAGGAGACTGCCTATTCTTGCTTCCTCAGACCAGCACGTGGATTCAAACCTCTGACCTTTCAGTTAGCAGTCCAATATGTTATGCACTCTGCCATCAGAGCTTTCATTGCCTAAGAGTAAGTCATGTCATATAATTGAAAGAATTTGTTCTAATTTGTATTAGAATTTTGTAAATAAACTAGTTTAAAAAAAAAGAACACAAACTGATGTCATATTCAGCACAGGGTTGTCTTTTTTCCTAAGGAAGACATTGCATAATCACAAAGAAAAGATACATGAAGTGGAGAGATTGGTTAGGGAGGTAAGATAGGTAGGAAGGGAAGATAGGGAGGGAGGGAGGG